ATGAAAGATGTGAGGTTATTAAATGTGATAACATGGGAACACAAATTTCCTAAAGGAATATTTTAAATCTTGGAATAGAACTCCATAATACAGTAAGACAAAGAGGGGATGGATGGGAGTGGGGGGAGGTGCTTAATATTTAAACCTAACAAGGAATTACTATTACAATGGGTAGCCAATTCAGGACAGGACAAAAAGGACAATCCTTACTTCCATCTAACCTACTTATGTTAACAGGCCAGCTGAATAAACAGGACTCCTAAATCATAACTCTGCACCTGTTAACTTTACAAACTTTACTGCAGTTTGTAAAGTAAAGGGTCTCCAGAAGGAATAAAAGATACTTTAGAATCTCAAACATTTCCTTTCTTCTATGGCTTAGGCAGGGAACCACATGGAGGCAAAAAAGGGATTGTAACAGTTCTCTCCAGAGTGTGGTTAAGACTTGGTACTAAGTGTGCTTTAGTGAGCACTAGGCACGCCGGAGCCTCTGAGAAAGGAACCTGAGAAACTAGGTGCTAAGGCCTGGCTCTGGTTCAGGCTCTGAAGGCCAGTGTGGATTTAACGAGTGTCTTACACAGACAAGCCAGTTACTAGGGAGAAAAGCAGAAAGAGATTATGTAAAATGGACATGGAAACTTTGAAAAAATTTGCCTCTACTGGAGTACCTCACCTGTTGGGTTGTTGCAGAAACCCAAGTGAGGCAACCTAACACGGGTACAGACCTGAGGACACCAAAAGTAAAGCGAAAAAAAAAATTTTGTAAGAGCAAGGCAATGGATAAAGGAGACTGAATTGAATCATATTTATTTGAACAGTAACTGTAAGGGCTGTGATTTGTGCAGGTGTTTAAAGGGGGGAGTGTGTACTGGAATTGTACTGCCTAGGTTCAGGTACTGGCTTCACCACTTACTAGCTATAGAGCAAGTTATTAAGCACTCCGTGCCTTAATTTTCTATCCTTCCTTTAGTACAGAAATAATAACAGCACACACCTCAGAGACTTCATGAGGATTAAGAGAGTTAAAATATGTAAAGTACTTAGAACATTGTCTGGCACATGTTTTTCCTTTTAGCTACTAGTACTTTTACCCCCCATCTTTGCCAAAAATTAAGGCTAAGCTATTTTCCCTTTTGTCAATCAGATGTGGCAAAAGGTTTGATAAACTTCAACTTAAATGAGACTTGAACTACCTCATATTATGTTCATATTATCACTGTCCACCATTTCCATGAATAAATTAAAATGAGTTGCCTAATACTTTTGGAAACAAAAATATTTGAAGTAGAAAACTAACAGATGGGTAGAGCTATTTTGAATAAACACAAGGGGAGAAAGGATTAAAAAGCTACTATACTTATGCCACAAACAAGAAATTCATATTAGAAGTTAAAATGCAAAGAAAGACTACTATGCTTATAACTGGATTTAAAACATAATTAGAATACTTAAATGCATACAATATTAAATATAAAAATAAAATATAGAAAACCTAAGCAGTTATGCTAAAGCATTTATAATACAAAAATAAATCAAAAGGATAAAAGTTGAAATGACTGTTAATTCTATGTAGTCTGAACATTTTCAAACATACAGAGAAAAAGTAAAAGTAGAAGTATTTAGTAGGTCAAGGAATAAAAAAGAAAAGAGAATTGAAAGATTTAGTATTTAATATTTCCCCTAAAGTATAATCTAGAATTAGAAAAAAGTGCTTAGTTTGAAGAAGGTAACTATAAACCAAAACTTTAAATATTCAGTTGACTTTTACTACTAAATAATGTAACATTTACATAATACAACTAATATGGAAACAGAGAGTAAATGGTTCAAGAAAGAGGGTCCATACTAATGTACTAATGATATTCAATAAGTGGACAATCTATTGAGCTATATAAGGACCATGAAGAGCACTCTAAATGGGGACCCACTGTTTAAAGGGTAGAAGGCAAAGTAGTTACCCTAGACAGGTTTTGTTGAGTAGCCTGACCTTAATCTTGAATAAATATTTGAAAATATAATTATGATATTGATTTAAGAACACTCAAAGGAAAAGACTGCATAATAGTTAGAATGTATTTGCAAGGCACAGATCTTGCTATACTAACAAAATAGCTCTTTTGAGATAATAGAGAGTGGATAAAGGGAGCTGGGCAGATAACATCTATATACATTTTAACAATGCTTTCAACCTTCTGTTGCATATTAGCATACTGAAAAATTAAGAGATGAACTATATTAATGATGTGATAGAGTGAATTACTAGTGGCTTACAGATTAGAAATAAAAGATTATTATTCTTTCAGATGCAGAAATATATACACATACAGATGTATCTCAGGTTTCAATTGCAGCTACATTAATTATATAAAGCAAAATAAATGTAGCTTATACATTAATTATTTTCAGAAAGGTTAATTTGATAGCATTCAAGTCTCTAGGCAACCCATAAAAAAAATGTTGGAAGCATACAATAACAAAATCTAGCCAGTGATTTACTTTTACTTTTACCTACAAAGTATAAGCAAAGAAAAACTATTGAATTAACTACGTTTTATCTTTTAAAATTAGTGTCATTAGGTTATTTTATCAGTAGAATTTTCCTTCAACATTTATAGTAATAATTTTCTCAATTTTTTGTATGTACAGAACATTCAGTGAGCTCAGATAGAGATGTGATAAATCCATACTAGCAAATAATGATAGTATTTTGTAATTCATTGGTTTCTTGTTGAATGGCTGTAATTCTTTTGAGAAACAGACTAATGGGTAAGGTCCTAGAAAAGGGTCATAACAGAGTTGAGTTACACTTCCAATTAAGTTATTTAAAATCAACTGAAAGTTCAAGATAATTTACTTAATCATGGATTTAAAAGAATAAAGAGTAAACTGGTCCTTCATTCACTCATTCCTTCATGTAATAATCAAGAAACTGAGTATCTACTATGTGCTAGGCATTGTGAACAATAAATCCTATATAATTCTATCTAGAGTCTATATTCTAGTTAGGATGACAGATTTATAGATGCTAATTAAAACAGCTATGATTAGCGGGATGTGCTTTTTCAATAATTCCCAGGTACTGAAATGGAAAGGTTACTGTACATAATAGACTAAGTGCAAGGTCAGTATGACTTAGTGCAAGTTTAAATGAAAGAATACCATCAAAAGAACTGCAATAGAACATTCGAGTATCTATGGTTACTTAACAAAATTCTTAACAAAATATCCTTTTAAAGATATTTATAACCAATTTAATGGGGAAAAGTCTATTAGAAATATTCATTATAAATCACGGATTCTGAAGTGTTTAAAAAGTTTCTTTCACTAGGGCATGCATTCATATTATATATTTTTCAAAACTATAAACCACATAGAAACTTCAATATCTGTAGTTATCATATTGGTGCCATAATTTTTTAACTGATGACTCCAATTAAGATTTGAATTAATGAGATCAGACTAATAACTACTGCAAGATATATTCACTGTGTTGGTTGGTAATACGTATCACACTTATAATTTACAGTATCACAGCTTTTATAAGGGCTATTATGTCATTAATTAGTTACATTGATCAGAATACCACATAATATAGGAGCACTCAAATATTATAATTTGCTTAGACTATTTTGCATCTAGTAGTATATATGTTCGTACAATGGGTGACCATAAGCATAACTGAAATCAGACAGATTGCTTCCATTAACAATGCCAAAATATGAATTTCAGAAAGCCAGAAGAAGAGATTTCTACTTATGATTTTTGCCATTAGAATCCACTTGTTTTCTAAATTTACCATAAAATTACTTGGCCTAAGACAAGAACATAAAGTCAGGACTTATGGGGGTCAAATGAGGTAAGAACATTACACATTCATACCTATACATCAGTCTACATTCAGTTTGAATCTACTTAATTGTAGGGTTCTTCCACTTAAATCTACACAGGTATTTTTTTCAATTTGCTTTGGGGGCATGGCTCTTATGGAATACTGCTTTTAATCAGTCTAACTCAAACATTTTAGGTTCTATTGGGTCTCAGCTTACAATAGGAGGTTGGGAATTAAAAAAAAAAATCTGGGACAATACATAAAAGGCATGTATTATGGCAAAATTTTCAATTTTCAGATTTAGACAATGGTACTCAAAGCCAGTATTTGGAACACATTATCAGGCTTCAAATTCTTGAAAGCTCACGAGGAAACAGTTACTCTGCTAATTAGCCAGTAAAGAGACATGATTGCCAGTCCAAGTGAATCATCAACTTAACTCACTGAGAAAGCTTTGCCTGAATCTTGCTTTAAGCACTGTAATTTAGAACAGTATGTATAAAGCCTCTGTGAAGGCAAGAACGCAACATTTTTACTTACATAAATCACAGCAAACTAAAGGGGAAATAAAAATTTTTAGGGGAGATAAAAAATGTGTTAGATTTCTTTGCATAATATCTTCGGGTGGTGGCTTCAATATCATTAAAAGAAAATATTTAATCTAAAAAACCATGACATGAATTTCTTAATTTGAATTATGACTATTTCTGACATTTCATATCTTATTGTTCCCTCTTAAGAGCTTTTATATTTAAAGTGTTTTTTTTGGGGGGAGGGTCAAGGGGACTTTTCTTCATCACTGCTAAAACATTTCAAAATGTACATATAAGTTTAATCCATTTCTATGATTTGTTTTGATAATTTGTTAACTATAAAGATAAAAGTCAGAAGGACACAAACCAACACCAGCTTTATAATTTTATATCTGCCTAGTTTCTCCAGAATATATACTAGGATGCTTATAAACTAATGTTTATGTTAGAAAACATTAATGTCAAAGACATTGAATATAGTGTGATATCGTGACATAGTTTAGGTTCATGAAATAGCATGAGGTACCCCCTAATTTGATTAAATTTTATGGTTTATTCAGGGAATAAAGAGAATCATGCCAAATAGTGACCCCTCACTATAATGAATGCTTTGACATAAAATAAACATATGCCTTTACCTTCCTCCTTTCTTCTCTTTGCTTCTTCTTCATTTCTTTCTTTGGCTTTCAATGCTTCATCAGCTTTTGCTGAAACAAAAACAAAACAATTTCTGCACTTATTTCATGTCTGTATCATAAATAAAAATGTTGGGGAAAAGGAAAAGAAACTCCTTACATATTTTCTGTGGTAGTCAGAAGAAAAATAACAAAATGGATGAAAATCTGAAATACACCATTTACAATCCTTATTCAGAAAAAAATATTAGAATAATTATTTAGAAACTTTGAAGCTTAGTTCAAGTTAATGTCTGTGCAAAAAGAAAAATGAATTTAAGCAGCATATGAGTTGGCAAAAGCTATTGGTCATCTGACTTGTCAGTACAATGTATCTGTTTTAAACTTCAGAGAAAAGTTCTTAAGCTACAATTCACATTTTAAATATGAGAAGCTTACAGTATCTTTGGAACAGTATCGAATTAGGTAGCATATTATTATTTTTTTCATTGCATATCATAGTAGCAGTTCTTTATTCATGTTATGACAGCATTTGGTAAAAAGAATCTTTTTCCCTCTAGAAACCTCTTCCCTTATTACTTAATTATCTACTAGTTGCTCAACTGCAGGGGTTTTCAAACACTTTACTACAGATGTTAAAGAAGATTAAAAATATACAGCACAGTAACAAGGGACTATCAATATACTCTGTAAATTAATTAAATTTCTGTTCTAGCACATCATTTATTCCAAAGCATTAACGTCTCAAAGGAGCGATTCTCCTTTATTGCCGTCTCACTGCCTGATGAGTGAACTAAGTGAAAATAAGTCTCTAATAGCATTATAGTTGATGAAATATTAAGTTAAAAAAGTATTGCCTCGTCAAAAGAAAGAGAATCAAACTGTGCCAGCATTAAACTTTAGATGAGCCTTTATTATAATGATAACAGCAATGCAAACTGTGATTTAAAAAATAAACACACTTGCTCTTCAGTTTTTGCTGCATATATTTTTCCTATGCAGAATCAACATATTCTTTAGAAGTATAAAACCTGGCTTAAAAGGGAAATTTAAAGAAAATACACATTATATACGTAACTATTTTTCTTCAAAGTTTATTCATTTAACTATTAATATAAATACTTTTAAAAAATATAAAACTTATATAATGGTGTTGTGAAGTGCTATATCCAATTACACAGACATCTGTTTCCATTTACAAGCTTTAATACATACTTAGACTGCATTTAGTCATGAAATATTAAAACTTTTATGCCACTCTGTATCACTGCAAGAATCTATTAAATTAGATAATAAAAACAAACCACCAGTAACTCTAAAGACTTTTACTTCATTTACACTTTATTCTCCCTGGTAGAAGGACAAGGATAATAGAAATTCCATTTAAATTCAATTTTGGTTATATGTGTAATTGTAGATATACCCCTTGAGTCATGTAAAATGCTCAGCTTATGTTTCTTTCAAATTATCCCGCTCAGATTCACATTCTACTCCTTACAACCATCTTCAATATGTATTAGCAGAGCTCATTAGACTGAAATTTAATAATGCAAACATCAGGTGGATTTCAAGAACCTCCATTAACAACGTAAGATGGATTGCTTATATATAGCTCTTGGGCCAACTGGGCACAATTTAAATTCAATAAACTACCCTGCCTAAATCTGATTTATCTATTTTACTATGCCGGTTTGTCCTTTCTTACTGACTTGTTGTTATACATGGACAATTCATTGGAATATTGTTTTATATGTTTTGTTTTTTTTTAAACTGTAAATGGCTCTTATGCTGTGGTTAAATATTTTATGTAATTGAACTTCATGCTGTCAATCAAGATTCCCATGTATGTGTATATAAATAAAAAAAACTTTGAATTATATCAAAATAGCATAGATAATTTAAAAAGCACACATTTGAAAATTTTAGTAATAATCAGTGTGTTCTCTACAAAGAATCTAAACAAATTCAATTTAGGAAAATTCATTTATTCAAATGGAGACATTAGGATAAACTCCTAATCGATTATTAAGGGAATTTAGAAGCAACTGTTTTTTCTTTGTGTCTGCTTTTTGATATTATTATTTAAATGAAATTAGAAAAGAACATATATGATTTAAATAATCGTAATTTTTTTTATATTCTCGAAAAGGTGATAATCCCATTTTATAGGAGGTAATACTGAATCTCATTAGATGAACCACAAAATATACTAAAGTGGCAAGACCTATTATATTATTTTATGATTTATGATCTTTTCCTTTGGATTTTATATTTACAAAAAGTACTTACATTTTCCACTATCCTTATTCACAACTTCCACTCCCTTGGCTCTTCCAAATTCCCCCAGGCTATCAGTACCCTCCAGGATTTGCTTCTTTCCCTAGACCAAGGCAACCATTTCAAGTCCTGGCTTATAAAACCCTCATTTCCCTGGTTCCTCTGTTGTTTTGCCAAGCTGTTACCAACACATCTGACCATTTTTTCTATTTTTGCTGCAGAGGTTCCCTATAAAATGGTATATAAATGTTATTGGCTTAACTTAAAACCCATGATTTAGAAATTAACATGGATCCTGCTATGTTGATCCCTTAGTCAGCATAGTCAGCATCCATAGCTGGTGGACATTCTCATTTCCTACAACTCACTACGCTTTCTTTACTACAAGTCCCCACAACCTGACACCAGCTTCCCTAAATTTCTTATATTTTCCCGGCCTCACTCCCATTCATCTCTAAACTTTTATCAATCCTTACTTGTTTTTTGCCTAGTTTCAGAAAGTAAATCCATCCTCCTGTGCTTTAGAGCCTAATTCCTTCCATTTCCTTTAGAGCTCCTCTTTCTGCTTAAGGTTAAAACTCACTTTTGTCTATTCTTAGCCTATAAATACATTCAAGCCTCACAAATACTGTACTATATCAACTCTTCTTTCAACCAAATAACTGCATTCTCTTGTTTCTGATAGATTTTGTCCTCACAGCTTTTGCCATGGGCTCTAAGAATTCTGTAATAGCCAAATTTAATGGTTATCTCAGTTTTATCCTACACTAATTTCTCCTTTAAAAAACAACATCTAACCAACCACATCTTTAACAAAAACACTCTCAAAATTCCAGCAATCCTTTTTCAATCTCTTTTGGCTGCTGTCTCTTTTACCTACCTTTTATTTCCTGCAGTTCTGTTCTTGGGCACTCTATGGAGGTCTAAAATGTAACCCATAAGTTTCTCGTAGCTCCAGTTCAGGCCCCTCTGCTGATCAGCAGAACTCCTTTTTCCAGTTACTTCCTGGACACCTCCACACTAATAATTCAAAATCATGTCCATGTTGGAACTCAATCTTTCCTTCAAAATTGATCCTCTTCCCTTGGTATTTCCTATCTTCTCCCAGGTTGGAAAACTTTGGAACCCTTCCTCCAAACTGTATCTTCATGCAGTACATCTATCTGACTGACGAGGAGCCCCATCAGATTCTACTCTACAGATTGTCTCTAGAATCCATCCAGTCCTTTCCATTTTCATTGTCAATATTTATGCTTAGGGCCTCATCTCTTTTCATTATAAGTAAGAAAGGAGCTCTATTTGACCTCTATATTTTTTATCCAGTTCCCTCCAATGAGCCCTCCATATTACCACCAGAGCGAGGAATGTGTTCCTTGTTTTGTATCCCCAGCAGCAAGCACAGTATCTAGAAACCAGGATGCTCAATAATTATTAAGTAAATGAATGTACCATTCTTAACACCAAAACTACCTCCAAAGGTGCTGTGTTGCATATATATATGTGTGTGTGTATATATATACACATATACACATACACATATACACACACACATATACACATACACATATATACATATACATACACACACACACACAAATCCAATCTATTTAGATGCCATCTAAAGCCCTTCATAGTCTGACTTCAATATAACTTTCTAGCTTCATCATTCACCACTCCTCTTTCATTCCATCAAGGATGCATGACCTTGCTGGGCCATGCTGCCTTTTGTTTGTATTGCCATGCCTTTGTTCTTGCTGGGGTCCCTTTCTCACTTTCTCACTGAGAAAACGTCACCAGAAAGTTTTAGTTCAAATGCCACCATCTTCTTTGAAACCTTTGCTGATCAATACCTCTCGTCCCCCAGTGGACCTGACTGCTCCCTCCATGCTCCTTAGGCACTTTAATACCTTCCTTATGAAAGGTATACTACTTAATTCTTTTGTTACAAAAAATATCCATCTCCTTGAGAGCTAAGCACATAGTATATATATTACAGAAACTATTAGCATTCTCTTCTTTATGAGTGTTTAGCCAGACTACATTTTCTTATCTCCTTGTACTTAAGTGTTGCCATTTACCTGAGCTCAAGCCAATGGAATGTGAGCACAAGTGATGTTTATCATGTTTCCATATCTGGCTTATAAAAAACTCCCATGTAATCCTCATTTTCTTTCCCCATCCATCGACTGAACAGAGGATCTATGGATGGTGAAATACAAGATAAAAGAAACCTGGATCACTGAATTTCTGCAAGGGGCACAGATGCTCTCCTGGTTACTTGTCTTATACTATGATATGAATATAAAATATATTTATATTGTGTTAATGTGCTGAAATTTGGGGGGTAATAGTAAGTGTTCAATGAATGTTTCCTAAACAAATGAATAAAAAGAATTTGGAAAGTTAACACGAATATTATGCTGTTCCTTCTAAACTGGAGCCTCCTTTCAGAAAAGCAGCCCTCTATGGCTGTTTCACCTGAACGATGGAGGGCAGAAGACCAGCAGTAGAGGTGGTGTGGGGCTGAGTAGGGGACTATTCAGTATGTGGAGTCAAGGGCATATCACCAGAATTTATTCTCATCTTTACTGATTTTATTTTAAAATTCCATAGATATAGGACTTTTTAGATTATTGCATCTATTTGCTTAAGTTGGATTTTAAACGATTAGGGAAAAACTTTACATCCTCTGTGAGAGAAAATCAATTGAGTCAAGAATTTAAAAAGACTGATGGGTTATTCAGTTCATCCCCTACTTTCAGAAAGGACTGTATTAATATTCCCAGAGAAAATAT